CCGCGGAGCAGGGAGCCCGATGCGGGGCTCGATCCCAGGACCCTGGGATCATGACCTGAGCCGAAGGCAGACGCTTAATGACTGAGCCACCCAGGTACCCCAGGGCTCTAAGGATTCTTGAAAGATCCTTTCTGTGCCTTAGAGACTTGTTAAAACAACTTTTCATTTAAGTCGAAAGTTTGGATGGCTTACTCTGACTTTAAGTCCTTCATTTTTCAGAATGGAAAATGCCCAGCCCGCCAGCGGCCCCATCCAAGGCTCACCCAGCTACATAAACCTCCTTCATATGCTCCCTGAGACTCAGAGCTTGACTTTAAGTGAGGGAGTGTTCTCCCAAGGCGTTGTGGGTTTGGAGATGCAACTGTGTGTTTCACAATCTGTACTCAAGCAGTGCAAATTGATTCTCATACCAGCTTGGCCTGAATGTAAATGAGAGTAAGAATAGTAGCTAATATATGCTTATTCGGGCACTGTATTAACACATTCTATGGATTATGTCATTTAGTCCCCCAACAACCTCATGTAGTAGAGACTCTTTTTATTGTTGTTTTTAAGGTGTATTTATTTTAGAGGGGGGGAGGGGCAGAGGGAGAAGGAAAGAGAAAATCTCAGCAGGCTCCCCAGTGAATGCAGAGCCCGACATGGGGCTTGATCTCACCACCCTGAGATCGCAACCTGAACCAAGAGTCAGATGATTAGCCGACCACGTCACCCAGGTGCCCCAGTAGAGAGACTCTTTTTAAATCCCATTTCACGGATGAGAAAGCTAAGAGAGGTCAAGAGACTTGCCAAAGGACACAGAGCTATCTAATGGTGCAGTCCGGATTTGAACTCAGGTGTGATTCTATAGTTTATGCCCTCAAACACATTCCTGTCCCATTGGCTGGCTCAGTAAATACTAAAAAGTTTGGTAGTATTGACTGTGCCCAAAATTGTGGCAACATGGGCACATACACATCTTGCGGGGGTGTAAATTGGTACAGATTTTCGGAGCACGATTTGGTAGGTCCTACCAAAATGATAAATTTGCTTCATCTTTTAATCATTCCTGGCAATCTATAACACAGGAAGCCTTGGATTTATAAACAAAGAAATACATATGCAAGTGTTCATCATAGCATCACGCGTGGAAATAAATATCCACCAATAACGCTGGTTAAGTAAATTACAGAACATCCATGCCATGGAATTCCACTACACATCAAAGGCTTTGCTTTTTCAACAATTTGCTGAGTATCCATCACACTGGATATGGCCATGAACAAGCAAGCCAGACACTCTCCAATCCTGCAGAAGTTAGGTTCTACCAAGAGAATTTTGATGCTTCAAAAATTTTTAGCTTTTTAAGTAAATTTTCCATAATGCTCCTGCTTTCTTATTTGATTGGCTAACACAAATGATCCCAAACAAGTAAAAATAAGCTGTTGACCATTCAGGTGGATGCAACCACTAGCTGAGACAATTTACAGCGAGAAACTGTTCTAATGCCCACACACGTAGATCCACCATCCTTGGAGCTTCCATAGCTCTCAAAATTACAGGTAGAATTTCATCACCATAAATAAACACTAATGGAGGGCCCAAACAACTTTTGTTGAGTTATATACTGCAAAAGTAAAATCAATATGTCATTAGTTGGGACTTGAAAACGAAGATTTAATTATAATGCAAGGTAAATCTGCAGGGCCAGCTAACTTGGTGGCCATCTGACTCCACCCACATTGACTTTACTTCTTAGTAAAATAGTTCTTCAAGGGCAAAGGGATGGTCATTAGACAGTATCTCGTTAATTGGCTCTCCTATCTTGTATTTCTCTTTTATACATCTGGACTTGGTTTACCATAATTTGAAGATCTCCAACACTAAAAATCAACAAAAGGATTGCTATGATGCAGGATCTACTGACATGGAAAGTTTCCCCTGATATGATATTAAGGAAGAATTTTTAAATCATGGTGCAGAATAAGATGTTCAGTATGATGCAGTTTTTGTGGGAAGAGCTCTATCTAATGTACACACACACACACACACACACACACACACGCAGTTGCATATGCATAGTAAAAGGTCTGGAACGATACACACCAAACTGTAACATTCTGGAGAAGGAGGCGGAAGGCAGGGTAGATGCCAGGGCGGAATATGCTCCACATTCACACTGTGTGCTTCTGTGATGCTAAATTTGTCTACAGTAAGCATGTACAGTTCTGCTTATGCAATATTCTGTATATATAAAATCGAAGGAAAATAAAGTATACCAGAGCTAGATGATGAAGGCCATGTAGGAGAACTCAGGAATTAAGACATTGTCATGGAAGTTGTGGGCAGCCGCTGAAGGGCTGAGGCAGGGAATGGAGATGGTTGGATTTGCAGCAGCATGGAGGGTGCACTGGGGGGAGGAGGAAGGTGTGGAGGCCATGGAAGGGCTCAGAGGACTTGCAGACCGAGAGCTTGGACTTAGACTTGGAGCCCGACCGCTGTGAGGAGCGGGAGATGGAGGACTGGAGGAGCCCTGGAGGAGGTGCGGGTTTCTGGGGTGAGAGGCAGGGCTCACGTGGGACGTATGAGATGATACCTGGGCAACCAGGTCACGGGAGACCCAGCACTGGTGGTGTGTCACGCACGTGACTTCATGCTAGACAGCCTCTCTCAGCCATTCACCAGATATTTATTAGAAAAGAGTGAGGGATACGTTCCCAACCAATAAACAAGTCTCCCATGAGCCATGTAAACCACTCGGTTGGACTGAGAAATGCTCTCCTTGCAGTCATGTGAATGTGGGGGTGTCTTTGCATCCAAAGATTCTTTCCTCTGACCAAAAGAGGGAACCATCAGGGAAGCCTGAGCTCAAGAAGAGCTGTTGCCTCTGCTAGCTTGTCCCCAAGACCGGCTGTGGGTGCCCGGGGCCACGCTAGATCTGGCTGAGCTCCTGTCCTCTGAAAGGCCCACCACCCAGTGGGCTGCAGGTGAGGCGATCCAGGCCAGAAGGCTTTTCAGAATCTTTGGGCCTGAGCCTAGGGACACCTCTGATCTCCTTCCAGTTTCCTCAGGGCTGTGGGATTTTCTGGGCATGGTACCCACCAACTGAGAAGTTTACCGGTTCCCCCGAAGTATGTTCTAGGCGCTTATGCCAGGCGTGGCTCTAAGGACCAGGGCAGAGCTCTAAGCCAGCCAAGCAAGTCTCTGCCCCCCTGGAAACCAGGGACCTGTTCAGTCAGCAACAAAGTTCTTTCTTCCTCAGCTGGTGACATTCTAGGTTTTTCTGGGCATAGTGGACGGTGGTGTCTGAGCAGCGCTGGGCCCAGCCAGGGGACGGGGAGATCCAGGACCAGCTGAATCCACTCCAGGGAAGGTCCCTAGCCAAAGTCAAATCTGGGCCTGTGGAAGTCTTAAGCCTTGAAAAGGTTATGATATTCCTCTGCTCCGATGTGTAATTGAAAATAAAAACCCAAACAAACTGCAAAGTTAAGCAAGATCAACAAAGTTCTGATTTTTGCCCCTCAATGATGACTTAATGCTTCAAAATGCTAATCATCAAATTCTTCCTCAAGAAAATCCTTTTACGTGCCTGTGCTACATGCTGTCCAAAGCAAAATAGAGCAGAATAATATGAGTGGCGTGAGGGGGGCTGGCCCCAGACTTTGTCCTGGCCTCCTTGTCCAAGGGAGTCTGATCAGGCATGCGCGTCTCAGCAGCAGGAGGGGCCCCGGGAAGGACAATCCTCTGGAGCAGGTGTTGGCTACACTGCAGCCCCTCATGTAGCCACGGCCGGGATGCAGAGCACGTGACCTGCCCCCCGGGCTGGCCACGATATAGAAGTCTAGCCAGCCGAAGCAGAGTCCAGGTCAGAGCTCTGGCTACAGTGGGGGAGGGGTGGACTGGGCTGGAAACCCAAGTGTGGCTCGGGGGGCCCATCCCTGTGCCGCACACACCAGACACAGTGGCCGTTCAGCCCCCCACCCCCTGGGACTGCCGCGACTCCGGGGCTTCCCTACCCGGGGGCAGGCAGAGCCTCCGCAGTAGGTAAGGCAGTGGGGTGGACGGTGTCACCATGTCAGACCTCTTGTTCCCAGGAGCCTGGCTCTCCTCGCTAAATATCTCTTGTCCTTTTTTGCAGAGTGATGAGGTCCTCACCGTCATCAAAGCCAAAGCTCAGTGGCCAGCCTGGCAGCCTCTCAATGTGTAAGTAGCAACCAGACCCTGGCCATGACCAGCCCTGTCCCAGCCTCGTACTCAGAGCCACCCAGCTTCTGGCCACTGCCTGCCAGCTGTGTCAGTCGAGTCAGCAATACCTCTCAGGGGGAAGAGCAGGTGCGGTGCGCTGCCCACGTGTGGGGAACCACACTTGCCCGTATCTTCTCAGGAGAACAGGTTTGGTCTCTGTTTCCCCCAGTGGTTCCAATACCACAGAACCAGACACAATGAAAACCATTCTGTGTTCACTCATGTTCTCAGCACAGGCCGAACATGCCTTCGCACACAGGGGTTCTCACCCGAGGCCAAGTCTGACTCACAGAAGGCTAGATTTACCCCAGTTTCCATTCTCAGTCCCGGTCTCTTTTCTGTCTACTCTATCTCTTGAAGATTTCATCCTCCCTTGCATTTTGGTGACCAAGGGTGTGCTGATGGCCCTATAAACGACCATTCCCCCAGGTAGATATGTTTGTGTGTAGGTAAGTAGGCAGATATGTAGATAGGTAAGTAGATAGATCATCCATCCATCGGTTTCTTGGACACCTCTCTGGAGAGGGTGTACATGGACCTGGAACCCATCACTAAGTCCTATGGATTCTGCCACCTTCATATCTCACAAATCAGTTTCCACCTGACCCTTCTCCCACTGTTAGCTCCGACCACCATGTTTTCTCACCTGGACTGCTTCAACTCTTCCCTCTTCCATTATGCTGTCACTGGAATGATCTTTTAAGAATCCAAATCTGATTGTGTCCTCCTCTCCTTAGAATCCCACCATGACTTCTCTTAGTCTCCAGGATCACTTTGTGAGGCCACCGAGAGCCGGACACACCCCAGCCCCTGCCTCCTTTTCCTCAGGACTCAGGTCTTGCTCCTCCCTACTCTGCACCTTGCTCTGGCCACACTGAATCCCATGCAGTTCCTTGAGCGGGCTCTGGTTTCCCTCATCCTCTAAGGATGCAAGATTTGGAGCAGAGTTCTCGCCAGCCACATGAAAGTGGTTGATGATGAATGGCTCGGCCAGCTAGTCTCTGGAGTATCTATACCCACTAATGATGGCATTGAGGAAGACAGCAGCAACCCGGGCAATGCTGAGATTCTGCTCAGTGGGAGAAAAGGCAAATTCCAAATGATAGGAGGGGAAGCACAGGGTGAGGTAGCAGGAGCAGGGGGAGGAGGCGCTCTCACACGTGACCAGCTGGGAGCAGGAAGCTGGTGCCATGCCAGGCGCCTGGTGCCCACCTCCTTAACCATTTGGCAAATCAGTGGTCCATTCCCCACGACGGGCCAGCCCTATACAGCCAGTCTCCACCCCATGGAATGCCCAGCGGGGGGATGGGGTGGGGGAAGATGGACCAAAAACAGAGTTCTACCATTCCAGAGCTGCTCTTTGCACACGTTCAGGTGGCACCACATATATGGAATATATATAATATGACGTCATCATGGTAGCCGTGTACGCTCCAAGGGGGTAAATGTTATGATGAGGATATCAGTGTTTCCAGAAGACCAGAGAAGGCTCACAACCCCGCCGAGGGTTGGGGAGAAGTCATGAGGGCCTTGTTTAGGAGACGTCCCAGGGCTGTCTGGAAGGATGCTCCTTGCCCCTGGAGAGGCCCAGATCTGGTAGTACTGAGGCCTGAGGCCCTACGTGGAGACCTGAGGAGAGAGAGAGGCCCACCCTTGGACAGCTGACCCAAGGCAGCCCAGCTGGCTGCATGGAGGCCTTGTCTAGCTTGCTGTGATCTCCTCTGAGGAAGCTGGGCCCAGAGTGGTTGAAAATCTGCCGAGCCCTGGAAGTGCCTTTCCCTCCGAGGAGAAGCAACAGAGGCAGGCCCTGCTGCCCAGGCTGTCCCCTGGTAGGTGGGCATTTGTCTGTCCCAGGCCTGTCCCACCAAAAAACACTGATGTGAATTCACAGAGGCCCTGAGCCCCCTTCACATAATAATCATCAATCAGAAAAAAAGGTCCACCATGAATCCTGCTTGCTCAGGCTCTCCTCAGCGGCTCCCAGCTCCAGAACCTGTATGTGAAGGAGTCCTCACCATTGGCCCTCGAAGCAGGCAGGGGCTCAGGGCCAGGGAGCGGTTGGGGGCATCTGGGCCAGAGTTTGTGGATGCAAATGTTGATACCACTAAGCAACCCTGAGCCCAGTTTTCCCTTAAGGAGCCTGGGTTTAGGAAGATGTAAAGCAAGGTGCTTCCAAAAGGAGTGAGGAAAGAGAGAAGAGAGAAAAGAAGAAAGCTGAGAGCTGACCTTTTTGTTTTGAGCACCTACTATGTGCCAGGTACCCGGCAAGGCACTTCTGTTCCTTATCCCACTTCATTCCTCACACATACCCCACGAGGTAGGGATTTTGAGCCTCACTTCGCAGACAAGATTGAGGCTCAGAGGTTCCATGGCAGGTCCAACCTCAGCATCCAGCTCCACCGGCGGAGGAACTAGAATTCCAACCACATCCAGCTGCCTCCACCACCTGTGCCCTTCACCTCTAACAAAGTCCCTCCAACGAAGGAACAATTCATTCAGTGTCCATTTTTTAATCAATCGAGACATACACTCTATCTGCCAGTCAGACTTCGGGCCAGCATGAGATGAACAATGTGACCACAACCAAACTGTCTGACTCCTGCCCCAAAACAAGACAGGATCTTGACTTTCACTTACCTCGTGTCCTTCTGTCAAGGATGACCGAGACATTACATGGCCTCCACAAATATTTGTGGTGGGTCTCTAAGGGGAAGTACTGTCAAAAGTGCTTAGGAATAGAGCAGAGTTTCTCATGAACTCACAGTCTGGTGAGGGAGAGAGACATTAACCAGATGATGACAAATGTGATATGTCTGCAAAGTAAAGACATAAAGTGCCATGAGAGTATGTGAAGAGGACCCTGACCCAGCCTGAAGGTCAGAGAAAGCTTCCTTAAGGGATGGCAACTTAGCTAAGAGTTAAGGAATCAATAGGCTTTGTCTAGGTAAAGAAGCAAAGCAAGGAGAGAACATTCTAGAAAGTCTAGAGAGACCATCACGTGTCAAGACCCTGAGGAGGGATCGGTATACTTAAGGTACTAAACAGTTGTGGTGTAACTAGGTCCAGAGATCACAGGTGAACTTGGTGTGGCGCCAAGCCATGCAACATTAGGGATTTTGATTTTTACATTAAGAGTAATGGGAAATCATTGAAGGGTTTTAAGCAGGATGACAACACGATCAGATCTGCATTAAACAACAACAATAACAACACTCTGGCTCCAATATGAAAAGATTAAGACTACAGGAAGCAAGACCAGTGAGGAGAATTTTCTAATTCACAGTGACCTTGACAAGGACGGTGGGAGGGGAGATGGGAGGGGTGTCGAGACCTCAGAGATGCGGAGGACTAGAGCCCACAGGCTGCGGTGATAGGATGCATAAGGAGGGTGAAAGAGGCAGAGAGATCTAGGTTAGTAAGTTGGCGGGGCCACTTACAAGGTTTAGAATAGCAAACGAAGTTCAGTGGGAAAGCTATGGTAGAGATGCCTTCGAATTATCCAGCTGGAGGTGTTGCCCGTTAACTATGAAGTTCTGAAACTCGGGGAGAATTCTGCACTGACATATAAACTCGGGAGCCATGAAGGAGTAGTAGACTATCAACGCCAAGGTCATGAATGAGAGAGAGCCTGAGGATAAGTCAAAGGCTTAAGGCTAAGTCCCGAGGAGTTCCAACATTTACTGCTGAGGAGGACCTGCCTGCGAAGGAAGGAAACAGAAAAGGAGTAACAAACTGACTGGGGGAAGGAAGCTTGGTATCAGGGAAGCCGAGGGAAGAAAGCTGTGCCCAGTGCAGCTGAGAGGTCATGTAGGATGAGGGCTGCAAAATGCTGGTTGGATGGATCAACATGAAGAAAAGCAGGGACCTTCCTGAGCAGGGACCTGCTGAGCGATGGCGGGAGGCCTTGAGCAGGATGAAATGTGAACAGAAAGGGGGTTTATGGAGTCAGTGTGTACAGGCAAGTCTTCTGTGCAGTTTGCTGGGAATGAAGAGGGACTGAGCAGTAGCTCTCAGGAGATGAAAGAGTCAATGAAGTTTTGTTTGTTTGTTTGTTTTTGCCTTCTTTTTTAAGATGGGAGAGACTTTCTGAAAAATTGACCAAAAAAACCCACAAAATACTTGGGGACACCTTCCCACCCTTCACCCTTCCCTCAGACTTCCTGAGACCCCCGTGAAACAGAATTAATCAATGGCAAACATCAGACCTCCCAAACACCCAAACCCTCTCCCGCCCAGTGCTACCAGCTTGTTAAGGGAAAGGAATTTTCCTTTGGTTTTCCCATACCCCAGTCTCCCCTTCCCTCTTCCAAATCGCATTAGGAAGTCAAATTAGGAAGCCTCCACGCAGCCAAGTTTTGTTTTGCAGAAACAGCCCTGCCCCCCTTCACTGAGCCCTCCTGATTGAGGTTAATGGGATTCCAGCCTCCCTCGGGCCAGTGGAAAGCCAGGGTGACCTACTTTGTGAGGTCCTGCCCCGTGAAACTGACTTGCTTTTCAATGATCTTCATCTTTTTCCCCAGGACCACTTCTCAAAGGACAGCCATGAACGAACAAATTAGCTGCTAACTTGTTTAGCTCAATAAATCAAGCTGCGGCTCTGTCAGCCCAGAGCGCAGGTAGAGACAGAAAAGACAGATGCTGAGCAAAACCCACATCCTTCACTAGTTCCTCTGGCGCCTGAGTAGAAAATGACCAGGTTTCCTGCAGATCGATTCTGAATTTCCACCACCCAGTTCCTCCAGTTTCATCTGAATACTAGGAATTACTGGAACTTTTAAAAATCATTTTTTATTCTCGTAATGAATCTTGTAAGGGACTGCAGTCCCCTTCATGATTCCCAGCCGCTCTGTTTAATTAATATTTGATAAGACAACCATTCATGTGTCCTCCAGACAGCTGAGGGGAGGGTGGATCAGAGACACGGTCACCCTCTCCAGAAATCCTGCCTCGGGAGGGTC